AAGTAGGAAAAATACATATTTGAAGCTTTGGTTAGGATAACATCCTTTAATTAAAAGTGTCATGTCTGGGTAAATATTTTCAAGTTAAAGATGTCAACATTATTTTGAATTACATTTCTAAATAGTGGAATCTGACTCCTTTTAAGGACTGTTGATTATACTGGGCGTGCGGGATAGCCAAAATATTAAGAAGTGCTGTTACCTCATGTAGTAAAGACAGATTTAAGAAATGTATAATTTATCTATTTTTGAAATTGCAATTTTCCTATTAATTGACAAATGGCACGATAAAGTTCTCTTTGGCACAGGTTTCATCATATTTTATAAGAACTGACAGTTTTTATTGCATAGTTTGATCCATTGTCAAATATAAATACATTTATATAATAGTTTGGGTGATTTATAGTAAATTAGTATTTTATTTTTTAAAGGTATTTCCCCTGCTTTGTTTCATTTTCCATCTTTCTCCTTTTTGTTTTTTGGAATTACAATTTCATAATTAATTTGTGAGTGTTGCTGTCTTTTTCCTTCAATTTTTTTTTTGTATTCTGTTTTTTTCTGTATTTCTCTTTTCTCTTCTCTTAAAATTCTCATAATTCTTAAAACTAATAAATATGATTATAAGCGAAATGTGTCTCATGAAAACAGAGGCTTTTAAATGACTTTTGTTATTATGATTGCTAAGCCAGAAATCCTTCTGATTTCTTACCATTTTTTGTGAGTCTAGAGCAGGGGGTCAAAACTTGGAAACTTTTGAGACTTGTGGACTTCAACTCCCAGAGAAGCTCCACAAGTCCTAAAGTTCCCAGGTTTGGGCACCCTTGCTCTAGACTCACAAACACATAAACATATTGAGTGTTTTCAGAGGATCTTAATGTTTGATATGATGAAAACGACCCAAAGTTGAATGTGGATTGAATAGGCTCGAGTGGGGTTTTGAGACAGACACAAATCCTGATCATTTCAAAGATAGTTTATAGCTTATTGTCACTATTAAATGACAGCAACAAATGTCGGTCTCTTTATGACATTCGCTCTCTAGGCTTTGATAGAAGAAAATAATAACATCCATTATTGTGTTTCTATGGACTAGAAAAACTGAGCAACCTTTTGCTAGCTGGAGCTTCAATATTGGAGAGATAATTTAGAGCTGCAGAGGGAATATACTCTACTCCATTAGTATTGTATCCCTCTCCCAGGAAAATGAAATATCCTAGGAAATATTGGAAAGGCAGAATATTTCCCTGGATGAGAAAAGGAAGAAATGTGTTTTAAAGAGAGAATAGCTCCCTGCAGCTTCCTGCCCTCACCCTTTGTCAATGGGCCATTAAGATGCCCAAGCGAGTCCCTTTAAATAATAAAGAGTTCTCCCCTTCCGGTCCGGGGGGGGGGGGGAGGTGAGATATTAAGGCATGATTCCCAACTGACCACGTGGCATCTGAGAACTCAACCAAACCTGGATTCAAAACATAGCCTAGAGAGTTGCCCCTGCATGGCCCCATGGGAGTCTGACAACCAATCAGAATACAAGATCAGGGTCAAAGGCCAGAGAGGGGCATAAAACCAGGGACTTTCAGCATCTCAGCCCCTCCTTCTCTTCTTCACCACCAACATTGAAGCATGTGATCACCTTTTCTGTTCAGGACTCCAGCCATGTGGTTCTGTCCATCATTAAACCATCTTTCCAAGCAGCCTCCATGTCTTCAGTGTCTTTTCCCCCACTTGGAGCCAAACCCTTCTGGACATTTCTTTCAACAGTATGAGGTTAGGACGGAGAATTTTTTGATAATTTGGGGGTGATATTTTTATTTCCACGTCAAAATAGCAATAGCAAAAGCACTTAGACTTCTATGCTGCTTCACTTTACAGCACTCTCTAAGCAGTTGACAGAGTCAGCATGTTGCCCCCAAGAATATGAGCTGCCGAATGCCTTGCAGCATCTGGGCATCAGCAGATGTAGCCTGCAGTACTGCAGTCTAATCAATGCACCGTCACGGTTCTTGATAGACAATTAGGAGACAACTGTGTTGCTGGTTTTCAGCAAGCAAACTAAACAGGAATTTGGGGGCTGTTAGCAGAGCTAGGGACACAAGTTACCTCATGTCTGGAGAATAATACATGTAACATCTTTTCAAGGACATGTGACAAATGCTCATTCCACATATACCATTTTTGGCAGAACTCTATTTTTGAAAATGTGCACTGTGTCCATGCAATGTGGTTTTAATAACAGCAGCCACAATTATCCTTTTCTTTGTCTCTACAAAGCCAATTTCTGAGCTAACCATTTTTGCAAAATATATTTATCATACAATAAATGCACAGCTGTGCGAATGACATCAAATCTCTGACTCACAAACAGCGTTGTAAAGGCAAGCTACAGCTACACTAAAAATACAAACAGTGAAATAAATCAGGAAGCCCGTGAGATGTGACTGGACGGGCGTGCATTTTGGAAGACTTCATTGGTTAAAGCTCTGATAAAGTCAGATAAATACTCTTTTGAGCTTTTTAATTTTATTTTTAGTTGGCCCATTCCTAGGAAACAGTTAAGTAGTAGGAAGGTTCATGCCAATAATTAAGAATAAAAAAGTAATCAAAGTACTGTAAACAGAATATGTCATTTATTGACTTATTTATGTATCTTTTCAATAGGCATATTTGTCTGCTGCTAAAACTCTATATGAGTAGATCCAGTAAATCAAGAGATTAATTTCTGAGGTTGGAATAATTTGGGCCTTGGGGGACAGTCTTTACCTAGATCAGCCATCCCCAACCTTTCTGGCTTGGCGGCCCAGCAAGGGGGGGGGGAGGATGGTTCTGTGTGAGTTTTAGTGCATGAGTACAAGCGCCCGCTGCTTGAACCAATGGAACTTTGCGCGTGATCAAAAGCGACCACCACTCATGCAAGTGGAGCTGTGCACATGTGCGAGAATACCCAGCGCTCATGTGGCCCAGTGCCGAATGGGCTGAGGACTGGTAGTAGGCCACAGCCCGGGGGGGGGGGGGATCCCTGATCTAGACCCAAACCAAGAAATATCTCTAAATAATGAATAGGAGCTTACTGCCTATCTGTTTTCTGACACTGTCAAATATTACAAATGGCAAACTATACTACTATACTATACTACTAGGGTTTTTTTTAATGCCCACGGGTGGTCCTCAACTTACAACTATTTATTTAGTGAACATTCAACGTTATTTGGCTCTGAAAAAAGGGACGTACACTGTGTCATCACACTTACAATCTTCAAAGCATCCCCACACTCAAAATTGTGATCAAAATTCAGGTGTTTGGCAATCAGCATGTTTGCAGGATCATATGATTGCCATTTGTAACCACTCCAGCTGGCTTCTGACGAGTAAAGTCAATGGGGATGGCTGGGTTTGCTTAATGACCACAGGATTCACTTAACAATTGTAATGTTCGCTCAACAACAGTGGTGGAAAGGTTGTAAAATTAGGTGTGACTCACTTAACAAACGCATTGCTCAGCAAAATAAATTCTGGTACCAATTGTGGATTGTTAAGTCGAGAACTGTCTCTGGTGTTTATTGCTCTCTACAGCAGGGGTCCCCACCCCGTGGTCCATGGACTGGGACCGGTCCGGGGTACCCCAACAACCCGTCCACGCAAACAAGTGGCGCCCCATCTGCAGGATGCAGGCAGCATGCAAAACCACGGCTCCTCCGGTCCACAGAGAAACCTCTCTCAATGGAACCGATCCGTGGTGCCCAAAAGGTTGGGGGCTATTGCTCCACAGCACTGATTTGTAGACTGAATCTAAAGCTTCATCCTTGGCCGTCCCTACATCTCTTCCTCTTTCCATTTTGTTCCCTCCTGATATTCTTCACTGCTTATGGAACCGGCCAGCATTGGGATTGAATCTTTTCTGCTACTGGTTCTGTGGGAGAGGCTCTGTGGGTGTGGCAGGGGAAGGAAACTGCAAAACCCCCCAATCCCTCCCCATTCTCAACATTTCCGCTACCGGAATGGCTGAACTGGCATTTGTGGCATTAATGACATCAGGCAGTCCGAAGGCTGAGGTGTGGCATGGGGAATTCAGCTCGATTAAGAAGGCAGTGATTGTAGTGCCTGCCATTCCTGCTCGTCAACAGCTAGAAACCTAGGATTACACCTGGAAGACTTTTTCAGGCAGAGTCATCTTGGCCAGTTTTGAAGCATAGAAGATTCCAGAGGTTTATATTTTCTATATAAAGTCACAGTTAACTCTAGAGGCACGACGGTTGCAAAGCCCGCAGAACAGAGCCCCTCTTTACGCAGTGTTGCTTCATGTTCCCTGTTCTAAGATGTGTGTGAGCTTCAACTCCCAAATTTCCTCAGACATTGGCAAGTTTGAGACAGGTAGACATCAACTTCCTGGCTGAGGAATTCTGGGAATTGAAGTCCACATATCTTAAAGCCGACAAGAATAGAAAAAGTATCTCTCTTACAATTTGGTGCTAGGTGCGTTATTGCAGTGGTTCAAATGTATTATTAAACTGTATATTTTTTCATTTATGTTTTCTGGAATTGTGCTTGTAATTTCAGTTCAAATTTTGTTTTTAGAACATTTTGGACGTTTGATGTAATTCTTTCAAATACTTGGGATTTGGGGTTGGGGATTTTTATTTTATTTTTTTGCCTGATCATAAGTGGTAAAATGTTCCGTCTTTGTTATAACATTTCCAACAATTGTTAAATGCTTTATCTGCCTTAGCTGTTGCCGACAGAGTTACATGCCATCTGCAGAACATTTTGTACCAATTAAATTGTAGTTTGGAGCAAATGTTATTATTTTTTTCTCATAGCCTTTACATTGGTTTAATATAATTACACCTCTCAAAATTATTCATCCATTTTAACATATTTCATATTTCAGCAACAATTTATAAATATGCACTTAGTTTTACCTAAGCATTTAAAAACTCTGTCATCTTTCTCAAAGTCCCTTTTCTTTTTTGAGACTTTTATTTTTCTTGGCTGATGAATGAGTATCCTTTTTCTAATATTTTTATTAGATTCCAACATTAAACATTAAAATACAAACTACACATTAACATGGAAAGGGAAAGAGACTAACAAAGCCAATTAAAAGTGATCAAAAATATGCATCAAACAAATATAATATAAATGACCTCCAACTTTCTTTTAGTACTTCTTTTAAATATTAACAATATAAACATAAGTTTTAACAAATAACACCAATCTATAAAATTTAAAACGCTACTAGGCAACACACTAAAAAAAGCCAAGATTCATAAAATGTTCTTCTCTTAATTTAATCTACCATATAATAAATTATCAAATGTAAATAATCTTCTACTTTAAAAGCTACAATATTTCTATAGTTAAATACAATCTATTTTTCAAGACCCAGTGCCTAAATCTGAGATTAATACTGTTTCAATAAATGATGTGGGCAGAAGAAGGCAGGATGTGGAGAAATGACTTGGAATCAGAATGTCTGAGATTTCAACCTATTACTCACTTCAGAAACGCAACTGCTGAGTCGCCTCGTGGACTTTTGGATAGGCCTTATTATTCAGAGCAGGCAGCTGTGTGTGCGTCACCCAACCTCTGCTCTTCATTTGGAGAGAGAAATCTCCTTAAAAACAAACAGAAAAATGCCATCAAATTTCAATGGATGTTAGAGAGGGAAAAATATGCAAAATACAATGATATGCTATTCAAAATCTTTCCCAATCTGAGAGGCAAATTTATAAAATAAACGCAGCTTGCAAATTCATTGGGTGATGAGAGCGGAGCTGAAATCTGCACCTGGCCTTCCTCTTCAGCACCTGCCCGTCCTCTGGGGATCCTCCAAGACAGGGAAGCTGCTGTGGTCTTTTTGTTCTTTTGTTTGCAGAAAACATTTGGGTCACCAAAAGAGCAGAGTAGGGCACATTGACTACGGCTGCTACCATACAGGTGAACCTTGAAAAATTAGAATATCGTGCAAAAGTTCATTTATTTCAGTAATGCAACTTAAAAGGTGAAACTAATATATGAGACGGACTCATTACATGCAAAGCAAGATAGTTCAAGCCACGATTTGTCATAATTGTGATGATTATGGCTTACA